ATATCAGCATTTTCAATATTTACTAATAGGCTTTTAGACTATATATGAGATAAGAATATTATTATCTTATCAGTATGCCAATATCTCAATTATTTTTTAAAGAATATTTACTGATACCATATTACCCAATTTGGCATCATTCGACCAGTAAAAAGAGAACCAATAGATTATATATAAGCAAAGAAAGATGGGACCATAAATTAGCACGAAATAATTTTAAATCATGCATAAATGTAACAGCTTGATAACATGATTGACATAGTGTTGTAGTCTTGGATTTTTCTATTGTATATTTTAAATATAATTAATTATACATTTTTAATAAAACAAACATGACTTAGCTATTTAATCATTTCCTTTTATGTGAATGCCTCCATCCATCAAATCTTCATGATGGTCATGATTATTCTTTAATACATTTGATGTTATCATTGACATAACAAACAATTGCATCACCCAGGTAATAATAACACCAAGGCCATGCATAAATGAAACTTTTAATAATGTGTGTCTACCCAGACCTCTGGTGTTCACAAGAATAATAAATAGGGAGGATCAAAAAAAATATTTTCCCTTCCCATTGTATGGTTCCTTATGAATAATAAATCTGATGTTGAACACAGGTGTCAGATTTAATTAAAATTTCCTATCACAAACATGCAATGCGGTGCTCTTAACACGCCTATAACTGTGGATTTTTTTTCCATAGTGAGGTTTCACACATGTTGGAAGGCTTTGGACAAAACTTTTCTAATCTTCCTCTCAAATCAGGCTTGACTGTCACCACATGAGCATTGATCACTGATGAAGATCAGCATTTGTGTATTATACCTCTCTAGAATAAAGCTGGTGTCTGCAACTGGTTTGAAAATTCAGCAACTTGGGAAGTTGCTGTTTTAGTTTTTTCCTGAATTCCAAGTTTTGAGTCCTGGATTGCTGTTTTGTTTGTGGCATGTCTGCTCACCAACAATCCTACCCACATTTAAATAACAAATTCAGTTGATCAGATAAAAATTAAAGAAACAGAAAATTTGGGAATGATTAATTTATACAAAACATACCAAACAAAATCCGAAACATTTTATTTTACTAACATCAGAGCCCAAACACATTTCAGGGCCACCAACCCCATTCTGAATTGCAACCTCCTGTGCTTGAAACGAGCTGCAGATTCTCTTAATATTCCTCCAGAGTTTGTGACTTGGTCACAGAGCCATCATTAGAGGTAGGATTTGCATAAGTGTCCTTGACAATGAATGCAATCTCAATAAATTCCAGGGCCATGCATCCCCCCCCTGAAAATTTAATTGCATCATTGTATTATCGGGCGTCGCAGGTCAGGTTAGCCTTTGTACACGAGGAAGAGGAGAGAATGACTGCAAAGTGTTAAGGTAGCATGTGTGCCTTGACATCTGTAAAATTTACAATTATGAAAATGTCGCATATCAAAATGTTTCCCTTCCTTGTATATATCGCCTTTGACATTTTATTATTATTTTAATATTAATATCAATGTTGATTACGAAAAGCAAAAACGATACAAATCGTTTATCATGATAAAGAATCTCGTAAATACAAGTTCTGCTCCCACAGTTTGATTTCAACAAGAAATTTTATTAAGTAAAGAATCAATACATGTATATCAATATTTATAAAAACAATAAAAAAAAAATCAATACAATGCAACAAAGAATAGTGTACCTCTCTGGTCATTAATAAACAACACCTTGTCTCCTTTAGAGCAAGCCATACCTAACAACGACATTCACGCTTTCTCATCTTGTAAAAGATAAATTGTTTTCTAAAAAAAAATTCAATCGCGTCAACAACAATAACAATAGGGGCTTCTTTGTACAACCATACACGTGCGTAAATAAAATTTTTCTTGTGTATGTCAATCAATTAACTTTTTCTTTTTTAAAAAAATGTCATCAGGAAATAACAAGAGAAAAAAGGAAACAAACCAACATGAAGCAGTTAGAGAGTAAGTGTTTATCATTAAATGGTGGTGGTTATTGCCGCAATTTGTTTTCACTCTAGTTATTTATTATAACAGTACTTCATGTTTGATATGAACAAGTTACAGATAGCAGAAACATTAATTCAATACAAAAATAAGTCACCAAAAGATGATAGAAAATCTATTGGAAATAGATCAGGATGGAATGAAAGTCAAGTATAAACAGAGAGTGTTTGTTAGTTTTTTTAAAATATGTATTAATTTTGATAATATTAATATTAAATTTATAACTTAAAGTTTACAATTATCAGTTACTGTTATAAGTAGAGTAATCACCATCATCATTCATTATTCAAGATGGCAAACAATTGGTATTTTGCTTTGTGTAATCAATATTAATATTATGTCAAATACATGCCATCTCCGTTCAAGAACATCTTGATGCATTCTAAAGAGTCTATTAAGAACATAAACAACTGTATCAATTGCATAAGTTCTTTTACAAATCAAATGGTTTAGAGTCAAGAATCATCTAATTTTGGTTAATGGACCTTTTACTGAATTCAATTTATTGAAAACCAAGAAAGCAGATATTTTTGAAGAAATTAAAGCTTTATCTATTTTTGTTAATACCACCTCCTTTGGACTATAAAAGGCAAGAATACCTTTATAATAATATTTGTCCATTTGTGAAAGGTGAATACAAAGATATTACTTGTCCAAAGCCAACTTACAGTAAAAATATATTATAAAGGTATGAATCAAAATAAAATTGACTCTCTCTATACTCCAATCAAACAAAAGTCTCAAGAGAAGGGTCATCCTTTGAAAATCATTTGTGAGTAGCAGTTAATTTGCTTGGATTTGGAGCTTGCTGAAATATTTCATTGATGATTCGCTTTTTTTATTCCATAATTCAATTCTTGCCCTTTTGAATTTTCATATTGTTCAAAAAAAAGTCTTTGTAAAATAATAACAATAACGAAAGAGAACGGCTTATCAAGAAAGCCAAGTATTGTCACCACAAATATATCAAAGTGTGTACACACTAAATCAGACACCATACGGCAGAGTGTTGAATTGTCAGCAAACACATCAAATGTAAGTAAATTCTTTACCAAGAGAATGGAGGTTTGAGCTACTTGATTGTTTTGCTGACAAGAGATTATGCAAACAAATCACAAAATCGTGTATTATATTAAATTAATTAATTTTAAACGGTTTTTGTTCTTGTTTCTGCCGTGTGTTAGTTTTGTAATATTTTCCTATTAGTGAAAAAATGCTTACCATTCATTATATACGTTTTGATAGTGAACGCTTCACTTGTCTCACTAATGGATTACCACAAAACATATATCAGCTGTCACAAATAACTTACTAATAAATGTCTATGATCTGAGACAAACATGACTTTACTGTTTTGCAGGCTGTATTGTTGGGCCTATGAATCGGGCGGAAATTACAAAAATTAAAGTAGTTAATATTAATCAATTATTTGTAAATATCATTATTGTTATTTAGTTGGTGATTTTGATGTTGTAGCTGTTGTGCATTGACTATAAGAAAATCATGAAGTAAATGCATTATTAAATGCTAAAATAGTAGAGAAATAGTTTTAATCGATTGAACGATTTTATTTTATATCTATATTAATTAATATGTAATTTTTTCACGAAAAACATTTTTAACTTAGAAACCACTTGTGATATTTTCTTCACAAATTTATTATAAACGATAAGAAAAATATTTTTTAATGCTATAATTTCAATCGGGTTTTACCAAATGAACCGGAACAATTGATTTTTTCGGCCCTGGTACGATCATAAAAAGATTCATTAATTTGAATTCTATAACATCAAGAAGGCCAAGCACCAAACCGGTGTGAATTTTTGGCTGTTATAAATTTTTTTTGTAACAATACGACAACTATTACTTGATGTCGTGTAATCTTTATCACTAGACTTGCTTGCAATATAGAACTTGAGACAAAGGTGATTTTTACCATCTTCGGGAAGTGTCGAAAAATATTAATGTGTTTATTATCTATTGCTATTATTATTACCATACACAGTGCATCCCGATTTTAACGGACTTTGATTTAAATCAAACCTGTCTATTATAATAATGATTATGATAATGATTTAACGGAAATGTTAATATTAATACTAATATGGTAATGGCTATAATAATAAATATTACGGGCATTGCTATTTATGTACAAGAAAAAATTTATTGATTTTCAAGTAATAAATTTAAAAATTACAAACGAGAATGCAAGGTTTATTTATTATTTATTATCATTATTTTATATTTTTATTTCAATAACGAATTGCAAATTAGTTTTTACGCGGGAACTGTCTGTGTCAACAAAACATGGATCTCGTCAAGTTTTTTATTTTAGAGAAAATCACTTAATGTTAATATTAAATATTTAGCATATAAAGGTCTTAACTAAATCTCGAGTCTGTGAGCTTAGCCAGACCCATGTTTTGTTGGCACAGTCCATAATTAAGTGTACATCTTCCCATGATTATATATATGATGTTGTTTGTTAAGTACACGATAAAGTGATATGAAATAACAAGTAAATAATTTACTTATTCCTTAGAAAGTTCTGATTAGCAGTCTTTACCATGAAAGGTGAGACCTTCGCTCAATATTGCTAAAGGATAAAGATAACGGACTTGAAAAAATTATTTTTGTAGGTACACACCTTGTTTTTTTTATCTCATAATATCCAAAAATTATACTTTAATAAAGTGGACATTGAATCTGATGCTTTTGTTTCCTAAATGTCCTTTTTTGTGAGGTCATTTATTATTATTATGGATATTCAATTAAAAACTCCCAAAACAATCAGACCCGTTCCTTACGTAAAAAGAAAGATGTGTCTATCTATCTTATTTAAATACACTAATAAATCATTATTATTTCAAATATTTTTAATTATTATTGATAAAATTATTAGTTATTCATCTTGTCGAAAAACTTATCTCTCAAACATTTGCAATTACAAATTATTTGCTCGAAACATACAACTATGGCACCATCATCAAAATTTGATAAGCTTCCCTCTGGTTTTGAGATTTCTCCTGATAATTCATATGCTGTATTTTCAAAGATAATCGAAAAACCAGAAAATGATGATCGTTCCTATCGCTTGATTCATCTAAATAATGAGTTAGAAGCATTGCTTATTCATGATCCTGAAACTGACAAGTCTAGTGCTGCTTTAGATGTCCATGTTGGACAGTTATCTGATCCAGTATGATTTTTCTATTATATACATACATTTATTTTTTATTTTTTTTTGATATCTTTGTGAAAACATATTATTGTTGTTGTTTAGGACAATTTAGAAGGTCTTGCTCATTTCTGCGAACATCTTTTATTCATGGTAATATTTATATACATATTTTTAAATCATGATATTTAACTAATTAAGAACCCATCAATCAATTTAATAATATCTGTAGGGTACAAAAAAGGTAAAGAAATCATAAATGATAAATTGATAAATTGATATAGAAATCAAATTTTCAATACTATACCTTATTAAAATTATATTTTGTAGTATCCAAAAGAAAATGAATACTCTGAAGTAATTGAAATTTATTATTGTGTTAAAATGCAAAAATCATCTGCGATTGCCAATGTAATTTCTAAATACGCCTAACCCACCAATAAAATTTAAAATACGCTTGCAGTTGTGGATGATTTTTGCAGGAAAATACACGATTACGTTGATATTTATACTTGGACTTGTTTGCACAATAATAATAATTTATGATTCTTATTAGTACTTATCAAATCATGGTGGATATTCAAATGCATATACTAGTGAAGATCATACAAACTATTATTTTGAAGTAGCTCATGAAAACTTGGAAGGTGCTTTGGATAGGTAACTAATACTTAATACATACTTTAAAATTAAAAAAATAGTCATTGTAATTTTAATTAATTAATCAATTAATTATTAATTTTTTATAGATTTGCACAATTTTTTATATCACCATTATTTGATCCTAGTTGTACTGACAGGGAACTTCATGCAGTGGACTCTGGTAATGATCAATAATATATATATACATTATATATTATTTAGTTTGTATAGTAGATTGAAATAATCCCATCGTTTTTTAAATATATATAGAATTTAAAAAAAATCTTCAGTCTGATACAATTAGGTTATATGAACTTGGAAGAATTTTATCAAGCCCAAAACATCCTTATAAAAAATTTGGTACTGGAAATTTAGTTACCTTAAAAGATAATCCACTTAAAGAAGGGTTGGATATTAGAGATGAGTTATTAAAGTTTCACAACAATTATTACTCGGCAAATATTATGAAATTGGTTGTGTTAGGTCAAGGTATCATTAATAATATATTTATTATATCATTAGTTATTTGTACTTTTATGAATCTATATACTTATTATTAATGATAATCTATTTTATATGTAATTTTATGATGAATACTTAGAGCCTTTGGATCAATTAACTCAATGGGTAGTAGATAAATTTTCTGATATTAATAATAAATCAATACCAGCACCAATTTTCAAAGAAACCCCTTATACTAAAAATGAGTTGATGGTAAAATCAAATCATGTATTTTCAAATATCAAACATAATGTTTATATTAAAATTTTAAAAATTTCCTTTTCTATTTTAGAAAAAAGTATTTGTCAAACCAGTCAAGGATTTAATAATATTGAAAATAAGGTTTCCTTTTCCAGTCCAAGATCCTTTATTCCGTGCTAAGGTAATTATATATATTAGTATTTAACTTTTTTCATATCTATAAATTCTTTAAAATTTTTTTTCTGTAAAAACATCATTATAAAGCCTGGAAGGTATCTATCACATTTATTGGGTCATGAAGGTGCTGGCTCTATATTTTCACTGTTGAAAAAGAAAGGTTTGTTGTTCCCCCCCAAAAAAAGAAAAGTCATTATTTATTTGTTTATTTGTTTATTTACTTGTTTACTTTTTTACTTACTTTTTATTGAAAAGGTTTAGCAAATTCTTTAGATGCAGGGCCAGGAGATGCGGGTGCAGGATTTGGATTCTTCTATATTGATGTTGATTTAACTGAATCTGGTCTAGGTAATTTTATTTATGAACAATTCTAAATTAATAGTTATAATTGTTATATTTATTTACAATCATATATATAACATTGATAGCTAATTATGAAGAAATTGTTAAAATCATTTTTCAATACATTAAAATGTTGAAAAATGAAGGAATTCAAGAATGGATATACCATGAGGTATGATTTTAAAAAAATTTTGTAGGGTTAATTCATATATATATTATTGCTATATTTATTAAATATTGATTTTGTAAAGGCTGAGATTCTTTCTGCTGTATCATTTAAATTCAAAGAAAAATCTCAGCCTGAAGATTACACTTCTGAACTTTCAAATGCTTTACAAAGTTCATATCCTCGTGAATGGGTCTTAAATAAATCATATATTTTTAGGGAATACAACCCTAAGTTAATCCAAGAAAGTTTAGATTGGTTAAGACCTGATAATTTTATCCTTACTTTAGTCAGTCAAACTTTTACTAATTTGGATCAAAAAGAAAAATGGTATGGTACAGAGTATAAAGTTGAACCTATGAGCGAAAACTTTCTTCAGGTAAAGATTCATTAAATATAATTTGTTGAGTATATTGAAAATATTTATTTGATATATATATATTTTTTTTTTATTATTATTAGGAATTAAAATCAACAACTATTGATTCTCAATTAAAACTTCCATTACCAAATGAGTTTATTCCAACAAACCTTGAGATTAAAAAACAAGGAATCATTACTGTATGTTTATTTAACGAGAAAATATCTTTTTAGAAATATTTCCATTTTTCAACTTATTCAAATTTAAATAATATAATAATTTGATTAGCCCCTCAAACATCCAAATTTGATTAAAAACACTGACTTGGTTCGTATTTGGTATAAAAAAGATGATACATTTTGGGTACCTAAAGTTTACATTTGGTTCAAAATTCAAAGGTAAAACTTTTTAATTCATATGATGTAAAATAATGATATCAAATATATTAATCGTTTATTAGTCCACTAGTGTATACTACACCATCCAATGCTGTCAAGACCCGTTTATATTTGGCATTGATAGAAGATGCATTAAATGAATACTCTTATAGTGCAAAAATTGCAGGACTTTATTATAATTTAGCACATGATGAAAATTTTTACATTTACATTTCTGGATACAATGATAAAGCAATGGTTCTTTTAGAAAAAATACTTTTGAAAATGAAGAATTTTGAGGTTGATTCAAAAAGGTTTGATCTATACAAAGAAAAACTATTACGGGGATATCGTAATACCTTATATGATACACCTTACCAAACTACAATGAATTGTGTCTATAATTTACTTTATCAAAAATTTTGGACCAATGAAGAAAAATTATCTGCATTGGAGAATATTGTTAGTCAGGATATACAAAATTTTTATCCAAATTTATTAAATGATTTACATATTGAATGTTTAGTTCATGGAAATGTTGATAAAGAAGATTCACTAAAATATATAAAAATTTTTGAAGACATCTTAAAACCTAAGCCACTTTCTCCTTCACAAAGAATTGGTGAAAGACCAATTTTATTACCAGTGGGAAAAAGATATGTTTATCAACGTGATGTTTATGATGCTAATGATGTCAATTCAGCAATAGAATATTATATTGAAATTTGTCATAATAAAGATGTTAAATCAAGAAACAAATTAAGTATATTGGCACAAATTGTTAATCAACCTTTTTTTGATCAAATCAGAACTAAAGAACAATTGGGTGAGCGCCATTTATTATTAAATATATACATATGTTTGTTTGTTTGTTTGTTAACTAATTTTGATTTATATATTAGGATATTTGGTGTTTAATTGGGCAGTTGCAACTACTGGAATCAGGGGTTTAATATTTATGGTCCAAAGTGAAAGGGATCCAAATTATCTTGAACATCGAATTGAAGAATTTTTTAAAAAATTACAAGTATACTTTTTAATTAGTTAATATTTATGGATGTATTTATGTATATATTAATTGATTAATCAATCAACCATTTTGTTTAGAAAATAATCGAAGAAATGTCAGATGAAGTATATCAGAAACAAATTCAATCAATCATTACCATAAAAACAGAAAAGCCCAAAAATTTATATCAAGAAGCTTATAAATATTGGAATCATATTACTAATGGATTTTATGAATTTAATAAAAGTAAAAATTAAAATTATTTTTGTTAAAAAATTTTCTAATAAATCAAATAACTTTATCATATATTATTATTAATATAGCTGAAATTGATGTTGAAGAACTATACAAAATTACAAAATCAGAAATACTTGATTTTTTCAAAGATCATTTTTATACAACATCACCAAATCATAAAAAACTTTCAGTACATTTAAAATCACAGAAAAAAGTCCAAACAACCAAACCAATTGACATAAAATATCTTCATTCATGTTTGAATGAGCAAGGAATCACTAAATTTGATTTAAAAGAATTAGAAGAGGCTTTAAATTCTGCTAAACCAGGAAAAATTGATGCACAAGCATTAGAAAAGATTTTGAAAACATTTTTAGTTGATAAGACCAAGGCAAATGAAGAAGAAATAGAAATCTTGATGAAAAAGATTAGCAAATCATATTTGAATGGTGATTATGAAAGCAGCAGTAATATTATTAAAGATTTGAATGATGATGATGGTGATTACAATAATAAAATTAAAGAGAATGGTATTGGAAAACAAGAAATTCATGTTGATAGTGAATTGATTGAAGATATTGCTTTATGGAAATCTAGTATGAATTTAGGACCAACACCAATTCCTAATGTTGATTTAAATAATTTCATTGAAGCAACAAAATAAAATACATATATATCATATGGTTATGATATAATTTTAATAGAAAATTAATTTAAAATTATATATTTTACATGTGAGGCACACTGCAACTAGTGTTACGGCCTGGGTTGTTAACGAATTACCATTATGAACCGTTAAGAACATTTTTAATTTGTCCCGTTAAGAATCCGTTAATATTAATGTTTTCCAAACTAAGTATTAATTAAAGTTATACATCACAATAATATTTTCCATGTTTTCTGAATGATCAAAAGTTTAAAAAATATGTATTTATTTAATTTCTTTCTTTGCCTGTAAGTATCAGAAAAGTTGTTCACACATCCTGTCAATCCCAAAAATTAAATCAAAGCATTCGATCATTTGATATTTTAAGAACTAACCTCTTTAACCTTAACTGTAATCGGTATCTCCATTGTTAGGAGTCATTTCATTTCCTAATTCATCGGGCTTCATAGAGAATTGGAAATTTTGTCCATGGCTCTCTGGAGAAGCAAAACACAATTAATGAGAGTCAAAAGAAGACCAATAAGTTCCTTAACAATTACTCACCATCCATTTAATATAGTTTCCAAAGTTTCAGATAGTTTCGTTTCAGCTAATTACTATTGCCAGATAAATTCCTGAAGGAATATTAACAATAGACAAAATTTTTGCTTCATAACCTACAGAGTGGGTAATACTAATATTTAGGAGGTGATTAGAATTAAACAAGTGAATGGCAAGATAAATATACCAGACGTAACAATACCAAACATTTCTAAGATTTTTATTTTTTCTATGATAAAATCTGCCATATCTTTAGCTCCCTTTAAAACCTTTAACAAATCTCGCAGTTGGGCTCCATGTTTGGAAATTTCTGTTCAAATGATCTGAGTGAGGTTTTCGTCCGTGAACAACTCCCCTGCGGTGGTAAAAATAGGCGACTTTTTTGATGCCACCGCAATTGCGGAAAATCTCGGGTTCGATGTGTTGTAGACGCGAGGGATCTTGACGATTTCGTTCGAGTCGGTGAACGGATTGTACGTTTTTCTTGCCAGGACAAAAAAGCTATTCTCATCATCGATGGCCGTGGCTTCCGCAATACTAATACAGGGAGCGCAAAACAAAACAAGCAACGGGATGACTGGGAGATCATGGATGTCAGACTCCTCGCAAATCGTTTTCAGATCGAGATCCGCCGCCTTTAACACAGCCAGTCACCTGCAAAAATATTTATCGTCAAATTAAAGGAAAATTCCGCACATATTTTGTTTTTGGTGTTATGAAAGAAATTCTGTTTGCTGAATTTCTGTACGGAATAAAAAATAAAAAACATGGCGGGAATTTTATTAACTAGCCATATAACTTCCAAATTTTAGGATTAAGCAATACAGAAAATGTGAATTATTTAACAGCTGCTGAAATTCAAAAATATCCTGATACTTTTATAAATTTCACAGACAAAAGAATTCTTGAAAATGAAAAAAAACCAAATCTATACAAAAACAAATGAAAAGAAAAGGAGAAATCATTGTGAAAGGGAATTCTGGTGCTAATGAAAACTTCTCACCACATACAACAATGAAAAAAGTAGAGTGGTATTATCATTGATGAAAGGGGCCTAGAAGTGGATAAGAAAGCCACACAAGGCTTGTTAGTAGAATATATTACCAGGCAAATAAAAAATATAAATGTGCAAAGGAAAATGTAACAAGAGATCATGAATCCACAAGTCATGTGGATGAACAATTAATAGAACAAGATGATATTAATGATGTTGTAAAACAAGCAATAAACAACAACAATCTTGGCTCTACTATTTTCATTAACGCAAATCAACAATACCTTACTTGGGCTACCCTGCATTAATTGTGAAGTTAATTTATAAATAACAAAAGATATGAAATATTCAATGTTGGTTTTCTATGAAAATAACAATTTGGATGTCAGACTCCTCGCAAATCGTTTTCAGATCGAGATCCGCCGCCTTTAACACAGCCAGTCACCTGCAAAAATATTTATCGTCAAATTAAAGGAAAATTCCGCACATATTTTGTTTTTGGTGTTATGAAAGAAATTCTGTTTGCTGAATTTCTGTACGGAATAAAAAATAAAAAACATGGCGGGAATTTTATTAACTAGCCATATAACTTCCAAATTTTAGGATTAAGCAATACAAGAATGTCATTTCTTGTGATTTAATATATAGCATATTAACCTGATAGATGATTTTAATATTATATACAAACTCGATAAAATTTTCTTTACCTGCTATTCATTAATTAATAGATTAATATTATGTATTATTATTATCTATTGAATATCTTTCTAATTAATATTTAATAACATTAAATAATAATAAAATAATTTCCTTTGTAGTCCTTTTATATAGTGATTATAATAATAATTGGCATTTTCTTAAGACATGGTACTAGTAACTATATTAGCAGTAATTGTAATTTATATTATCTTGTTAAAGGAAATAAGCCTTATTTATAATTTACAAATACTTAACAATAATATTAATATTAATATAGAATTTGATAAATCAAGCTGTGAATTAATATTTTATAAACGAATAAAAACGAATAAAAACGAATAAACGAATAGAACTATTAGAACTAATATATAGAACTAATAGAACTAATAGAACGAATAGAACGAATAGACGAATAGAACCAATAGAACGAGTGGACGAATAAAACGAACAATTCAAATTAAAGTAAAAAGAATAATTCAAATGAAGAATTTGTAAAAATTTATTGGACATTCTAAAATTTTATCAGAATGCCCGGAATTTTATAATAGGATTTTACACCCTGGTTTTCATCACTTTGTTTGATTGTTGTGTAATTAACCGAATAAATCATTGGTTATTAAGTCACATACATTCATTTATCTGGTCAATTCTTTGGATGCAAAAAGAATAATTTATTATTTGTATTTCAAATTCAAGTATGTTTTAAGGATATATAAGTAAATTACAAAATCAAGAAAATAAGTATGTTTTAAGAATTATTAAAATTCAGAGGTATATTTAAGTGTATAATTAGAATATCTACATTCCTATTACTGTAAAAAATAAGAATGTTTTAATTGTAAAATAAGTATATTCATACATACAGTACCTAGACAAAAGAATCGGAATGCACGTTTTTGTTAATTACGCAGAAACATACATAATAACCACATATTA